GTGAATTAAATCTAAGTTTAAATAAAAAATCGTTTTTTTTTCTCCCCCATCGCTACTTGTATGATTGAGGTCTTTTAAAGTCAATTTTCCCAAATCTTTTTCTTGCACTGTACATTCTTTTAGTCATTTCAGTCATCTCCTTTTTATTTACTCTGCTCGTAAATGTCTTTCTTTTGTTTGTCAAGGATTTCAAATGTACTTTTAATGACGTTAAGCACATTGAGTTAACTTATTTAAGTTAAAAAAGCAACAACAAAAGAAAAGCAGCATGACAGCAAATACCATCAGAGACTCTTTTTATGGCCTATCTGTGTTTGTTTCCGATCTAATTTGCCATCGGTGATTACTGACTAAGTAAATCACTGTTTCATTGCAAGGAAGAAAGAAAAAAACAATTGCTTACTTCGCAAGCTTCATCTCAATCTGCTGCCGTATTTCTTGCCGCTCCTGGTCACTCCTTGCCGGGAAGATGTTCCGATCCTCCAGCTCCTGCTTGGTGGGCCTGTTTCGTAGTTTGACAGCCAGTAACTCCTTCCTTAACCTGCGAGGAAGTGTGCCTGCATGAAAAATAAAAATGTATGTGTAACAATTAGACTGTCTTCCACTAGATGACAAAGAGTGCAATTAACCCGTGCCCACCTTTTTGCTATTCATATATGTTTGTGCATAAATTAGGACACGGTCATCATTACTTCCATATTCAGAGGAACCTTGATTTAATGGTAGTCCATTAAATCAAAATCTAAATTATTATGAAATTAATTCTCACTTTTTTATGTGGCGTAAATAATGACCGGTATATCCATCCATTCTCCGATCCACAAGGGTCGCGGGGGGTGCTGCAATCTATCCCAGCTGCCTGTAGGCGGGGGACACTCTGAACCGTTTGCCAGCCACTTGCAGGGCACACGTATACAAACAACCATTCGCGCTCACAATCACATTTAAGGACAATTCAGAGTGTTCAATCAGCCTGCCATGCATGTTTTTGAAATGTGGGAGGAAACCGGAGTACCCGGAGAAAATCCACGTAGGCACAGGGAGAACATGCAAACTCCACACAGGAAGGCCGGAGCCGGGATCGAACCCAAGACCTGTGTACTGTGAGGTTGACGCGCCAACCAGTTGACCATTGGGCCTCCTGACCGGTATAGTCCAAAATTATTCAGAAATATTTAAAAAACTTGAAATGTTGTTGTGTTCCACTTTGGAGGTTGCTGTACATATTTGACAGATTTGGGCTGAAGTTATTTGCCACCACTTGCCTCAAAACACTGAGCAGTCACAATCGGAAAAGAAACACTCAGTCTCAGTTCAACTCTGTGGAGTGCTCTTTGACTTTTTAGGGATCTGGGACGAAGCACATGACCCACCAGAGATGACCGAGTCGTTCCATCCATCCAGGTCGGTGGGGAGGCCTGATGTGTTGGAGAAGCACTGGTCCAGCCGCACGTTCTCCTTGTTCTCCTCCGCCTCCTTCTTGGGCCAGTCGGAGCCGCCGCCTCCGACGCAGATGCCCGCCAGCGACGTGTGTTGGTTCTCTGAGCTGCAAGAGCGAGAAAGGCGGCCATCCGAGCACCACAGCCGCGGGGGTGATGAGCCCTGCTCACACACTTCATGCACACTGCATGGACGCACAACCACAGGAAGAGAATTGTCAAAAAAAAGGTCAGACCAGGACAGGGAGATCTGGATTTAAAAAACAACCCAGTCTATAAATAGGTTGCAGAAATACAAATAAAAAGTTTGACACATAACCCGAAAAAGCCTACCCCACAACGTGATCTCTGTTTTTGTAAGCAAATGAGTGGAGGCTCACCTCTCCTGCCTGTTCTTGATGGCGAACGCTCTTTGTAGTTCCTCCATGATACAACTAGGGGGCATAGGTGGATGAATCATATTGCCAAGGTGAGGCGACCCTGAGGAGTTGGCCAGGGGCCCTCGTAGGGGAAGGGTGATGGGTACCAGACTTTCTGGCGTCCGATGTGGAGGCTCCTTGGGGTGGTAGGAGTTGGGATGGTGAGGAGGGAGTGACAAGGGGCCTGAATCTGGAAGAAAAAAAAAAGACTGATCCGTCAGTCCATGTTCTATGATGCTGAGGCTTATTCGGGTCACAGTTGAGCTCCCTGGAGTCTCTCCCGACTACCTTTTGGTGAGAGGTGGGGTACGCCCGAGACTCGTCACCAGCCAATCACGTATTAAACATCCATTCACATTCAAGCCTTGGGCAAATTGGAGTCCTCAATGACCCTAAGATGCATGCTTTTGGGAAGGAAACCCATGCAAGGCCCCGTGGACAACATTCAGACCACACAGGAAGCCAAAAACCAAGAGTCTGACCCCTTGAATCAAATATTGGTCCATATGGACATACCTGAAAGTCATGACACCCCCGCCGCAGCCCAAAATACAACTTGAAATCATGACAACTTCCAAGGTTCTCTGAAGACTTTCTCGAACATGTTTGACTGCATTTTTCCAAGCTCACCTCCAAAGTTTGTAATGCAGGTAGAGGTCAGGACCAAGCTGATCCAGACATGCAAACATGGCTTGACAGAGTCTGCTTTGCGCACTGGCAGAATTATACGGCCTGCCCCAAAGTGTCCCCTCAAGTTAAATATGACAGTGTCCGAAATATCGCAATGCTCACCGTCTGCGGTCATGAGCTGTGGCAAAGGTTTTGGAGGTACTTGTGGCGGAGACGTTCCTGGAGCGATTTCCTCCTCTGGTCTTTCTTCCATTCGCTCTCTAATGTCCTGCAGGCCATCGGATACCTCGACGACGGGGTGCGCCTCTGGATCTCCTTCCTCATCTTTTAGTGCTGCATTTACAGTTTCCTCCAGACGCTCGCAGTCCTGGAAGGGGGTGACCACTTGGAGATGCAAATATGGGGGTGGGAGGGGGATGGGGGGGCGGATGGTTCATGCAGTTATTTTGGCGCATACGTGAGTAATGTATAGTGTTCACATCGTGTTTTTAAACTGGTGGGTTGGCTCAGCCAAAAGTGCAAAGTAAAACAAATTGGAAAAATTCAGCTATTTCCGTTCTGAGTTCGGACCAACCAATGTCAAACATCCATTTTTTTTTCCATTTTAGAACACACACACACACACACACACACACACACACACACACACACACACACATATACACATATCTCCATCCATTTTCCGATCTGCCTCATCCTCACAAGGGTCGCAGGGCGTGCTAGAGCCTATCCCAGCTGTCTTCGGGCAGTAGGCGGGGGACACCCTGAACCGGTTGCCAGGCAATCACAGGGCACACAGAGACGAATAACCATCCACTCTCACACTCACAGCTAGGGACAATTTAGAGTGTCCCATTAACCTGCCACGCATGTTTTTGGAATGTGAGAGGAAACCAGAGTTCCTAGAGAAAATGTGCTCAAGCACCAGGAGAACACCAGGAGAACATGCAAGTTTCACACAGGAAGGGTGTAGCCCAGATACCGTACAAAGCGACGACCTCTGAACTGTGAGGCGGCTGTGCTAACGCATCGGCCACCATTTCGCCCTTGTGCCAAGTTTCCTTTCCTGCTCAAAGTCAGCTGGGATAGGTTACAGCTCACCCACCACCCCAATGAGGACAAGCAGAAAATCGAAAACAGGTGGAGAATAATGTTTTGAGTTTTTTTTTTTTTTAATCACATTTTAATTACACATATAGCACAGTTTGACTTCAAACTTTGGATGATGTGCGTCACATCTTGGGACCAGCTGAGCCCCACTGATATCATGCATGCTTTGCAGATACAACCCCACCTTATGGACTCCAGACTATCAATTGGTTGTCTTTGCTGCCGTCTACTGGTGAGTACAATTCAACATTGACAGTTCAGTACAAAAACATCAAGTTGCCATGGGGTCGGTGAAGTCTTAATATTTCTTGTGCTATTTCCACTTGTTTTGGGGCATTTATTCAGTCGATTACTGCAGTCTCATCCACTGCTGATTGTGGCTGGGAAATTCATCGAAATGGGACTGTCTTTAATCTTTGAGAATTGCGAAGCAACAATGCTCAATAAATGTTCAACTTTCAATGAATATCTGAGGGTATATATAGTTTGACTTCTTATTGTGGCTCAAAAAAATGTGTAAGCTTATGTTATATTATTAATTATTATCATTTTATGTTTGAGCATCATATTATTTCATGTTAAGAGTACCTAAATTATCTTCTCTTGTTTAATAATTGCTTAGACATGTTTTTATGTTGATAGGTTCTGATTGGCTGTTGAAGAGAAGCAGGAAGTGGTTTCAGTTTCGAGGAGAGTTGTGTCCTCGAACGTGTTGCGTTGAAGACGTCTTTTTTTCCCCTTTTAATCAAACTGTATTTAAAGGATTCCATCTCTCCTTTTGCCGTTCGTAAAGTAGAGCTATCCACTAAAAACAACGAACCCTTCAATTTACAAATGAATCTCTAAAACGTTGTTTTCTAGAAAAACACATGAGATGTGTTCATCTAAATTCATCTAATCCAAAAGAACAATTTCAACATCCAATTAGAGCTCAAAAGGCAAATTTGCTTAATTATGCACCAATCTTCCAAAGGATTACACGTTTGGAATCTTTTTTGAATTCCTTTTTCCAACAATACCCGTTTTGTGAAGATTGACCTAATTGTTCCGGAGAAAAAAGGAAGGTGGCCACGCCCCTTTTTAACCCCAAAAAAACGTCAACATTCGGTGGGCTGTAGCTCCCAAACCCCTGCTCCGATTGACCACAAATTTGCAATTTGGCATTTATCCCTCACTATCAACAACTACGGCAAGTTTCATTCAAATCAAATCTGCTTGGTTAAACCCAGCGGGTGATTTGTCATGTGAATGATCTGTAACGTCCGCTGTGGGCCCGTGAGGAATTAATCTACCTGCGAGGGGATGTTCCTCCTCTGGCCCGAGGTATTCCACACTGCTGACAGTGAGGTTTGAGTTCAAAGGTCCCCCGAAACCGCCAAGTAGGAGTGTTCCGTCTGAACAGCAACCATGGCTGGAGGAGTTTGGGTCGTGGTAGAGAAGGCCACTGGATAATGCTACATCTGTTCACGGAGACAAGCGGGAACCGGAGGTGATCATCTCAGTCTTGTGTTTTATGTCTTATTTGACTTTACTCTTGAACAAAGTAACAGCAGTGCATGTAGCGTACCTGTGGAACTCTGTTTTAGCTTTTCATTTTTCTTTTTCCTCCACTTCCAGGGCTTGAAGATGCGGCCCAGTGTGGCCAGCTTGCTGTTCCGTCTGATGGGGGGAGTGTGGACGCCGCTCACGAGGCAGCCTGTCCTTAGCACCCTCTGCTGGTCCAGCACATCTGCTGATCACAAGAAGTGTGCAAAGGTTAGAGCAGTGGTTTTTAACCTGGGTCCCATCGAACCCCAGGGGTTCGGTGAATCAGTCTCAGTGGTTCGAGGGGGAACCTCTGCCGTGGAGTTTTAAGACAGCCATAACTGGCTGCAGACGACCACATTACATTGCTTGTCCAATCAGTGCTGCGGGAAATTTAGTTCGTTCCGTAGTCAACGTGAGGCTTTTGTGATCGTACGTCATGCACGGTTCATTTTGTGCACAGTTAAAAACAACTTATACTTATGTCTTGAAATTTTATTTACTTTGTTCAGTTTTTAATAAATGCATTTTTTTTATGTGTTGAATTTATTGTTTAAAAATCATATTTTTATTTGTCACTCATGAAGGGTTCGATAAATGTGCATGTAAACCGGTTGGGTTCAGAAATACAGAAATAGCACCTGTAACTTTTAATATGGTGCCTGAAAATACGGTAATAATAATAATCAGGGCTTGATGGTAAAAATAAAGCATCTCAATTAAAATGATAAATCGATGATGAATTTGACAGCAATGATATCCAACATGTGGTCAACTGGTTAGCACGTCGGCCTCGCAATGCAGAGATGCAGGTTTCAATTCTGTTCTCCCCGGATGGATGATATCCAACATTTCAAAAATGATCGAATGTAAATCTGAAATATGAAAGTACTGGGATTTATTTACATGACAGTATTTGTGCCCTTGCTTCATTGTTTTGTGCTGGCATTCTTATTATGAGCACACAAAGCCCTTTTTCAAAATCAAAACGACTTGGAACTCTCACAGCCAAGAAAGTATGGAACTGTACCAAAAATGTAATAAATGCATAAATATGTCAACAAGAAGGAGGGAAAAAATATTGTTGCCATCTGGAGGCTGATTTCTTTGTTCAAATATTCAACTGAGGAGAGGAGGATTTGTGATTGTGGTGCAGAGTACATTTGAGGATGGCGAGGGGGGCCTCCTTGCCTCGCGTCTTTGCATTGACAGCATGTTGGTAGGAAGATGTCGGGTGATTAATCAGGCCAGAGGAGAGTACGAAGAGGAAGGAGGATGATTTAGGATTGGCGGGGGGCGGGATTTTTGTTCAGGTGCGCTTGTAAAGTGACCCACAAAAGGTCACAGGCCTCGCCCGTATCACTCGTGCCCTCATCTTGCTTGCACGTACCACATGCCGCTTGGCGGCGCGAGCTGAATCCAGGTCAATCTTGAAGGAAAATGCACCAAAGAGTGCAAAAAAGAAGAGGGAGGAGCAAGTGGGAGGAGGGGTAGAGGCGTTGTCTTTGCAAGTGTGTGTGTGTGTGTGTGTGTGTGTGTGTGTGTGTGTGTGTGTGTGTGTGTGTGTGTGTGTGAGTGAGTGTGTGTGAGTGTGTGTGGAAAGGGGAGAGGAGGTGGGGTCAGGCCCACTGCTGTTGCCATGACGACCGCATCCAGATGCTGCTGCAGCAGTGGGAGCTGGCGGGATTGAGCGAGTCAGCTTAGAAGGAAAGGAGGAGGCACACGTGGATACTGCCACATCTAACGACGGCGGCGGCCGCGCAACGGGTGCATTGTGGGAAAGGATGGAGGGTGGGGAGAGATGCCACATGGAGGATGAGATACGGGCTCCTTTTTGAAGGCGGAAAGAGGGTGGAAGGGGGTGCTAGGAAGTGGGGTTCCAGTGAGAAGGAGGGAGGAGGTGGGGGGGGCGGCTGTTGCTATCCGGAAGAGATGGCCAGAGAATGTGAGCTCGTCCAATCAGGGCTCAGCTCTTCGTAATGCATATCAAGCCCTTCTTTCAGAGAGGGGGAGTTTTGTTCACAGAAAATGACAGGAGAGCACTGCAATTAGGTGGAAACACATGCGAGCATAAGGAGATTTCTCTTCGCCGCCCAATCAGGAGCTAATGAAATGTGCTTTCAGTTTAACATGATCAGCCACAACGTGGCAATGATACACTCGTCTAATTAATCCACCAAAGCAAACTGGATTGATCAACTCCGTATCAATCGTCGGCTCGCTAAAAGACCTGCGGTATCGATTAGGTGGTTCCACTGTAAAAATAATCATTTAAAACGGGAAATATAACTTGTAAATGGAAAATAACACATTATAAAATCCATGTTCGGTAACTTCGGAGCAGCGAAAACTAAATAAGAAAAAAAAAAATCTGAATGAAATGAAGTCATCAATATGCTAATGTATTCGTCAGAAATTCAAGACCGAAGATGCTGAGTGAGCCACCACACCCCGCTGAAACAGCTCGTCAGCACCTTTGAGAGAATTCGACCCTCTTGCGTGCAAGCATCCAGACGGTGAGGCAAGCGACAGCAATCTATTTGACTGTTCAGATCAAAACAAGCTGCCCTGGCCCCAGTCGAGCTGGCGTGGTGTCTGACCGAGATGGAGTCATTCATTGCTTTCATCTGTACTTTAGTGTAAGTAAAGTTCTCGTTCGAGCTTGTCTCTCACACTTGTGCGGCCCGCACGGGTTCACAAGTCCTCTTGAAGAAGCTCTGAGCCAAGTGAAGCAGAAATCATGTTGTTTACAAAATACGCTCCTCACCTGGAAGTGGAAACTGGTCTGATGTAGCCACTTTTCGCTGATGTAATTTTACCCACAATAGTTAGTTTCCGGCGCCATATTCGAGGAACCAGCACACAAACGGGAAAGGATTATCGGTTGATTTACGTCGAGTTTCCAATATGACAAACACAAATTGCAACAATTGCTTCATGCTGCTGATCTAAAAGGGCAAGTGGGGGGGGGGGGTACAAAATGTCAGGCTTATGAGTCGTACTCGTCATGTTTCTTCCTCCCATGTGGTCCACAATGCTCATGTAGTTGAATAGAACTAGCATGAGTGATAGGCAAAGCTTTTGCTCACTGCAGTCGGATTGAGCGTCGCCAGAAATAAAATGTCCTCATTAATGTTGTTGGAGGCAATGTACTTTTTGGTTGTTTGATTTCGCACATAATATGATTCATTAAAAGAGGACAAATGGCTTAATTTTTTTTTCTACCCAACCTATTCGATTCCCGCACCCGCACCGTGCACTTGCACCGCACACCAAATTAAAATTGTAAAATTGTATTTGCAAGTGAAGGTGGACAAAATTTGGCCTTTTCGAAATGTTTTTAGATTGCCTAAAATATTTCACGCTCCAACCTCTGCATTATTACATTTGATGGAAGAATTGTACAAATCCGCATGTACGTTTTCAAATTGGGTTTGAACAAAACACTTCAATATCAGGTTTCTGCAAACTCAAAAACAAGCTTGGTTTTAACAGAATCGATATGGAAACAAATGTACAAAAAAGTGAAATCCAAATGAACTATACACTTTTTTTTTTTTTTAATCAACGTGATTCATGAAAAACCAAGTAACCCTGTATTTCTGTTTTTTGCCCAAAACAGTACCTTCATCCATCCATCCATCCATTTTCTGAACCGCTTATCCTCACAAGAGTCGCGGGGCGAGTTGGAGCCTATCCCAGCTGTCTTTGGGCAGTAGGTGGACGACACTTTGAACTGGTCGCCAGCCAATCGCAGGGCACACAGAAATGAACAACCATCCGCGTACAAACTCACAGGTCAGGACACTTTAGAGTATTCAGTTAACCTGCCACGCATGTTTGTGGAATGTGGGAGGAAGCCGGAGTACCCGGAGAAAACCTACGCAGGTACAGGCAGAACATACAAACTCCACACAGGAAAGCCGGCGCTGGAATCAAACCCTGCACCTCTGCACTATACGGCCGATTTGTGCTAACCAGTTGGCCAGCGGGCCGCCAGTACCTTTATTTCAGTTCAAAATCCTGAATGCCATTGGCATTGATTTTCTTTGCTATCTCAGTCTTGACGAGCTTGGTTCCAATTTCTGTGCAAACTCCAGTGTGAAACCTGACTTGTTTATGTCATGAAGTGAAGATTGACAAATTGATTTTATTAATACAAGCAACTAACAAACAGTAAAGCCCTCTGACCCATCCAAAAAATAAAAAATAACTCACAATATAATTATATATAAAGATCAGACAAGCGACCTTCATTTTCTTTCTCCAAAGTCTCTTTCTTTGCCGCTCCTTTCCACTTGCACATTGTGTTCTTGAGTGGATGCCTCGCTTCCTTACTGAGTGCCGCGCAAGCTCGCTTCTTCACTTTGCCCCCCTGGCTTTACAACTGCGCTGCCATCTGTCCACAGCCTTCCTGCCTCAAGGGGCCCGACCGGCCGGCCACACAAAATGACTAGCAGGAAGACAGTGAGGTGCAGACGGACTCCGGCGACACGAAACGAAAACAGTTTGCACGACGAAAAGACTGTGAGCTGTCTTGGTTGTCGAGTGAGTCATGAACGGAAAAGCTGAGCCGAGAATGAGCTTCTTCACAAAATTGCAAGATTGAAACTGTGCTAAGGAGGAATACACTGTAAGCGGGATGCAGGTTTCATGCTTCTAGCTATTTTGGGGTTATTCCTTTGAATGAATGTGCTGTCAAAAACGCACAACTGTTTTATGAGATGTGTTTTGCACAGTTTCGCAACCATTTATTCACTCATTCAATCCAGAAGGCCATCACTAAAAAAAAGAGCCACGCGCCTGTTATAGTGACATTTTAGCTGTATTTGATCAAAGCTATAATTGTAATCATAACAAATATTTTTTTCAATGCAAAGCACTCAATGTCGTCTCATAAAATGGCGATGAATAATATCATGGTCATTAAAAAAAAAAAAAAAAATCAAGTCTAGAGTGATACAGTCCATAAAGCAGCACTGAATAACTGCTAGGAGTAAAAGCCATTGAAAATGTTAAAAAAATAAAATTAAAAAAAAGGAAATTAATCAGTGGTATGATGAGTTTTGTGAGACTTTTTCATCATCGATAACTGCTTAGAAATAGTGGCAAAATATATTTTGTAGTTATAAGTTCTTCTGGGAATTTGCACATGCAGGAAATACTGTAGATGCAGTACAGATGCAGCGATATAGCATTGTTCTCCCGGATCTTAATCTGACATACTGGATGGCCCGAAGTTGATGGAAGGCTCTCCCAGATCATTTACAGTGCACGTGTGCGGCTCGGCTGCACTGTGCAGACCACTGGCATGAAGCGCGAGAACTCATTTCAGTGAGGCCAAGAGCCAACAGGAGAGGCCACAGGCCCTTGGTACCATATGTTGCTCATGAGAATGAGGACTATGATGGGGAAAGCCGCTTGGAAGCATTAAAATGACAATTCAGTCACAGAACAGATTTAAAATATATATATATATATTAGGAGAATGGGCAGTGGTTAGCGCGTCGGCCCCAGCCAATATAATATCATGGTCATTAGTGTGGAGTTTGCATGTTCTCCCCATGCCTGCGTGGGTTTTCTCTGGGTACTCCGGTTTCCTCCCAAATTCCAAAAACATGCATGGCAGGCTGATCAAACACTCAAAATTGTCCCTAGGTGTGAGTGTGAGCAAGAACGGTTGTTCGTCTGTGTGTGCCCTGTGATTGGCTGGCAACCGGTTCAGGGTGTCCCCCGCCTACTGCCCGAAAACGGCTGGGATAGGCTCCAGCACCCCCAGCGACCCTTGTGAGGATAAAGCGGATCAGAAAATGGATGGATGGATATTAGGAGAATACAATGTAAGAATTATAATCAAGCATGTGGACCTGTTGTGCTATCTGGGTCTCTTCCACCAGGTCAAGCATAGACTTTTTTTTTTAAACCTTAAACCAGAAGCGGCAAACTCATTTTAAACGTGGGCCATATATCATATTGTTGCCCTCAGGGGGCAGTTATAACTGTGAAATCATATCAATCGCTCAAACCCATGGTTTCTTTGCTCAGGCAAGGAAACAAAATGCAAAACAGTTTTATGTGTTAACCGGAAGCGATTTCATTTCAAATGAAATGTTGGCGCTGTTGGACTTTCTCCAAGGAGGTGCTAATGCACGAGCCTGATCCATTTAATCAGGAGGGAGACATCTAAAACTTGCATGGTACCGCCCCTAGGGGACCTGAGTTTGACACCGCAGTATATGTCAGTCCTGTGATTGACAGGTAATCAGTGGCGGCTGCATACTGACTTGCACCTTAAAGTGAGGTCGGAGAACCTCCAGCTTCCTTGTGACCCTCAACCCAGATATCAGACCATGTTCTGAAATTATCCAATCCTCTTCTTTCACTGCAGTTCTCCATATGTGCAATGGTTCATGCACAAATATCAAGCGTTCATTAATTTAGGGGGAGAAAAAAATGGCAGTGCTACAAATAACCAAAGACACATGGAACATGTCCGCCCACGTAGACACGCCTCTGCATTTCACACACTAGCAAGAAAAAAAAAGGAAAAAAGACAGGCTATTTTGTCCAAATGTGTGAAAGCCTCAGTGCCGCCATCAGATCCAAAATGTTCCTGCTAAAAGTGTTTTTCCTGTCACTTACATGAACCTGTACGGCTGTTCCTTGATCTCCCAGGGACATGCATGAAAGCCTGATCAAACCGCTAACAGGCACATTTCCACTCTATCATGAATTTTTGGGATATTGGTTGTGACTAACAATAAATCAGGTGATGTGAGTGAGCGTTCTGATCATTTATTTATGTAGTTATGTACTGATCCTAATCTTTCGAGGGGAAATTCATCTTACACTCTGCTGAATTGATTTTGTTTTGCACCCCATATGGAGAATAACATCACACACACACATGCTGGCCAAAGGAGAGCTGTTTGAGTTAGAAAGATGCGGCACGCAAAAAAAAAATGGGTGGGGTCAAGACCTTGGTCAAGGGCAACTCTACAGTAGTCAGGAAACAGACTAGCATCTTTCCAGCAACGAAATAGCATTTTTTTTGGGCCCACGGGGACTCGAATCGTGACCCTCTGATGAGCAACTACAGTTGCACCTCTGAACTTTGAGCTGTTCGTTCATTCAGCCTGCCACCACAGAATTGCTAATTTACAAAAAAAACCCCAAACAAACAAACATGAAGACCTTGTCCTGAACTAATTTTAATCCACTTTGAATACCTTAATGGCAGCATATGACCAATCTCATTCCATAACGCCGTCACAATTTGCAGCTTTAACCCTTTCGTGCACCCTGTAACCTGATAACATGATAAGCTGCCCACTGTAGTAACCGCTGTCCCTGAAAGGGTGAACAAGGTTCACTCTTCCGGGAAGACTTTCTGCACCATTTTGGAGTGTGCCTGTGCACATTTTTGACTATTTATGAGGTCAGATGTTGCATCTGCCCGAGAGAGAGAGGGAGAGAGAGAGAGAGAGAGAGAGAGAGCTAGCTGGCTCACAGTCTCTGTTCAAGTTCATCCCAAAAGTGTTGATGCTCTCACACACACACACACACACACACACACACACACACACACACACACACACACACACAAGTGCACTGGAGCAC